GGCTGCAAACTAAAGAAGACTGATGAATAAATATGGCAATTGCACCAAGAAGACTACATCCCTGGAGTGAAACCTTTGACAACGACGCCAAAAGGAGACCATGATCCACTATCTCCAAAAGAAGTGTCAGCACTCCGAGGATTGTTGGGAGCGCTACAATGGCCATCAACACAGTCGATGCCGCACTTGAGCCCTTCAATCTCCCTACTTTGTGGTAGCATCAACGGTGCAACAGAGTCCATAGCAAAAGCTGCAAACAAAGCACTCAGGTTTGCCAAGAACAACAAGGACGCCTCCCTACAGTTCACAAGATTGGGTGATTTGAATGAACTATGTTTGACCGCTGTCAGTGACGCTGCATGGGGTGTCCGCCCCGATCACTTGAGCCAAGGAGGATACTTCATCCTGCTGTCCCACAAGGACGTTCTGCAAAAGAGTGGCGATTTCAAGTATGTCATCCTCGACTGGAGATCATACAAGCTGCCACGAATCAGCAGAAGCAGTTTGAACTCCGAATCTCAAGCTTGCAGTGCCGCCATGGATTCCCTCGAGTACATCCAATTGTTTTGGAAGGGATGTGTCAACAGCTCATTCACCACCTCAAATGTGGATGAGAGAACTGGTCGACTACCGTGTGCACTTGTGGTCGATGCCAAAGCCCTATATGACTGCCTCAAAAGTGAAGCACCACAGTTGACTGGGGACAAACGCACCCAGATCGAGGCCTTGGTGATCAAAGAGAAGATGACCACCACAGGATGTCTCCTGAAGTGGATGTCCAGTGAGTTTCAACTGGCTGACGGCCTTACCAAAGTAGCTTCAAGGCAGCTCATGGCAGACCGCCTACGAACACACATGTTCACCCTCCAGTCCGACCAGAGCTTCACCGCCGCCAAGAAGAAAAGTCCAAAAGAACGACATGACAATGCACGCCGCAATGCATTGACAAAAGCTGAAGCCCGAAGAGGATTGGCAATGATGATCATCTTGGGATCATCAAGTGTAGCACAAGCAGCAAGTGAAACAGGTGAGACCAACGAGACCTACAACATTTATGTTTTCATGCTGTTTACTGCACTCGCCCTTTTTGGTGCCTCTCAAGCTTTCATGAACATGCTCAAGGCCCTTGTGAATGTCATCGGCAAGGTGATGAACGATGAGAAGTCCCAGAACTTAATGGACAAGGAAAATGAAGAAAGTCGTGAGGTGGAAACCACCGAAAGTTCCGCCCAGACGACAGAACAACTTCAGAAGCTGGTGCCGACCCGACTTCGTGAAGAGAATGAAAGATTGAAAAAATGAAGTGAAAGAACACATTGAAGCAAATGCAATACTCCAGCACAGGATCAACTACTTGGAAGCTGAAGTTCATCGACAAGATGATCGAATGGAAGAATATGAAGTTGGTTTGAGAGAAGCAACCACCGAAGCACGACTCGCAAATGCCTCATACCAACGCACAGTTCAAGCCCTCCAAAGCCTACAAGGCCAACACCATGTCCTGCAACAAGAACATCGAAGAGTTCAGAATTGCAGAGAAACACCGATCCCAAAGGAAGTTTTCATGGCTGCACGTGGAACAAAGTTCCATGTAGACCCACAGTGTCCAGCATTCCACACAGCATCCGGCCAAACGGCCATTGAGTGTTGCAAGATCTGCGAGAAGCAGATCGAAAAGGATCGCTGGTGAGAGACTTGACCTAAGGTCAAAATTTCTTACTTTTCCACCAGTGTGAATTTCGAGCAATAGACATGAGTTGAAGTCATTTGTGGATGACTGCGTTCGAGTTTCGCACTCGCCGCGCCGCCCTTGTCCAGCGCGCTTGAGCCACATGACGTGGCCGCCCGTACTAGGCCTTGAAGAGAAAAGGTCCCCTTACTGCAGACGGAAACTTAGAGCGTTCCGCATCGACGGTGAACTCGGTTTGACCTCCTTTCGTGTTCCCGTGTTTTCACATTTAACATATTAAGAATAGTATACGTTAAACAAAAAAAACAGCAGGCTAATATGGTTTACATCAATCAACTTTTCCTCATTTGCCCCCCACAACCTCCCCTAAACTCACTTCAGCCTATGGGCGGGTGTTCGTAATTATCGTAATTTCATGTAATTTCACCTTCAAGCCCGGATGAAACGATGAGTTGTCAGGATGGATAAGGAGAATCAACCCTTCACTGGTCAAAATGAAGAGACCACACCCATCACCGCACGTTTGCACCTTGTTGGCACCTGCACCTTCCTCATCTTCTGGGAAGCTCAGGCCCGCTAGCAGCAAGACTCCAGCTGTTCTGGACGACGAACGAACGGCGTGGCTCGGTGACGAACGCGATGCGCCGTCACCGAACTCACCACTTCAGTTTGTTTTGGCATATGAATGCAAGTCAAAGCCATCAGCCAGGCTTTTTTTGAGGGGGTCAGGTCAACCGTACTTGACCTCCCGGGATGTGTCACAACTGGTCGTTCCAGGCATCTGAATTTCCAGGTCGTTTCGTGAAATCCTGGAGGGTGGAAGTAGGTGACCGTGGAGCGCCGTGGGAGATCATATCCCAAACACTCCATGTGTGCCATGTATGCCTACATTGGGATGGTTTTTGGGGGTCAATGTAGGCATATATGGCATACATGGAGTGTCTGGGTATCACTCGAGAGAGCAGAATGACTCTGGTGGAGAGTGGCATGAGATTTATTATTGACCTGAAGGCCCTCCAAAGACGTGCATGCTGTATAGAATACAGACGTCAATTGGGATGGCCCACCACCTGGCCTGGTCTGGGTGTAGGAGCATAAGGACCTCCAAGACATGTTGAAAGGGTGACCCACCATCCTTCGATCCGTCGTCGGGGCCTCACATCCCTAGGGATCCATCACCATCCCTAGGGATCCATCACCATCCCTAGGGTTGTGTCGGGCGCGCCAGCCATAGATACAAGGAGCCAAAATAATTTTATAAAGCAAAAAAGCAAACAAACAACAAAAGGTAAAGCAAACAAACAAGCAAAAACATGTAGCTGTGCGTGTTTGTCGTTTTTTTTCACTTTTCTTCTTTATTTTCGCATTAGTTGTTGCTCTATTTTCGCATTTTTTTCCTAGGAGCGTAAATATTGCTGACGGGTAAAAGTTCTCATAAGTGCAGAAGTGGTCCCAGGAAACAAAACAAAAAAAAACAACACAATTGCAAAAACAAAGCAAATTGCGCTGCTTTTGCATTTTCATGTGCTTTTGTTTCGCTTTTTTTTTGGTACTTTTTATTTTTTTTCGCAACAAACATATTTGATGGTTGGTAATGTTGCCCAACATAACCCAAGGGATCCAAGTAGTACATTCTGATAAGGTACGACTGGACCCTCCTGTGGCACCTACATAACAGTGTCGAACACATCATCTTCTGAGAAGGTATCCCTAGGGCAGAAAATTGATCCCACACAGTATTCTTTGTGCTTCTCATCTGGTCCAAGAAACAAGGCTGGACAACGAGATTAAGCTCCGCGAGCGGGCGCTGAACGAGTTCAAAGAGTCAGCAGGGATGGCCCAGAACGGGCGAATGAGTGCGTTGAACCTACCTTACCTAGTCAGTGGAGAACCTGGAAAACCCTCCTGGCACTCGGGCCCCCAGTCCCGCTTTCGAAACGAGGGTATGGAGCCCTATAGGGTAAGTCCCCTAGGGCTCCAACTATATCCTCAGAAGATGGTTAGACCCCCCAAACTGACCTGAAGCACCTTCTCAGGAGGTAGTTGGATCCCTATTGTGTAAGTTGCAACCATGCTGATCCGCATGACTCGACCGAGGGCCGAACACCCCTCAGGGTCGAACTCAGTGGTCGAGGAAGAGATCGACCATAACGGCAACTGGTTTGGGGCGATGGAGGGGTAAGTATTGGATTCGTCACCTTTGATTGAAGGCTTTCTGTTGACTGTTGTCACCCTGGTGAAAGGTGGGTGAGGAAGATACCCCAAGAATCAGAACCCCAAGACTCAAGCAGACGCCAAGAATACTCAAGCAGATACCCCAAGAATCAGAACGCCACGCTTGATCATCTCCTCGCTGCTCAACCTGTCTTCGCTGGGTCCGGACATGTGGATCGCCGGTCACCGAACTTTGGGGGAGACCTTTGGGGGCACCCCATGCGTAGCCGTACGCGTGACCATATGACCAGTCATCTCCCGGTCGTCTCAAGAAGGAAGAGATCGAAGGGTTCTCCACGTTCGCCAACCAGAGTGTTATGTAACTGTTGATAGCACGATCTCTTGAGAGATGCGAACAGGTGGAGTTCGGTGCACCGGTCTTGTCCAATCCAAACACGGCTCAAAAGTCAGATGCAGCAACGCTGCGGCAAGGCACAGGTTGCACAGATCCCCGGACTCCGCTGCTTTGGCTCAGCGCTTGGAGCTTGGCCAGGAATTCAACCGAACTCCTGGCCTCCCACGCTAGGCATGAAGAGCCGGCTGCTAAGACTAAGATGTTGGGAAAGAAATAAGGTCAAACGGCACAGCATGATTGTCCAGGCAATTACAGGCGCATGTTCTGTCAGTGGAGTCAGTTTTGGCACAGTCTCTAGAAATCATACAGTGCTTCGAGTAGGAGTCGTTCCAACATCAGGGGCAAAGATATGCCGTTCTTCACAGACATGTTTTCCTTCAGGACCCGATGTCCTGATCCATGGTCAGAGTTGGAGAAATCCGGATCCTGGTTTTGCGGATCAGGTGACTTTTACCTATGGATCAATCCCCATACCCGGCAAAAGAATTTGTTGTTTCTATTGAGTTCCGGCTCCTTGAGCAAATCCAAGGGATGGTCAGAGTTGAGAAAGCCATATTCTCAACAAAGTTCGCTGTTTGTCGGGGCCGGCACGTAACACGGAAGCACAGCAACAGAGGAAGGCAGAAGTGCTGCAGGTCAAAGGTGAATGACCTGCTGTCATTGCACTAGAAGCGCTTGTCCGAGATCCAAGCTAGACTAAGTGAGACGAAGTGACAGAGAAACACATCCGATGGTGAAGATATGGATGGAGGCCTGCCGAGGGGTTGGGGAGGGAATGGAAGGATGAAGGGATGTTGGGACGTGGCTTTTACCCTATGGGACGCGTCTTATTTTCCCCGCAAGGGTGATCATTTGTTGGTTATGTGGAGACTGACAATGTGAAAATCCTGGAGTCCCTGTATTGACTTTGGAGTCCGAGGGGACTAACATGCAGTGTGATGTAGACTGTAGACTGCTGATGAATAGACCCTCCATATGGAGATGTAAAGCTTCCTCATGTACGGAGGCTTTGTTCATCAACAGTCTACATATGTCTACATGATGTTTGGTGTATAGTTTTTGTGAGTCCACTTGATGTCAGTGAGTCGGAGTGTATTTATAGTCAGTCAGAGTGGGTGAACACACTTTTGTGACCGCCTTTGTTCACCATTGTTGTCCACTACTATACAGTGTCGACGTCACCAAAGTAATTAATAAGGAACTCGGAAAGGCTTTCCAATACAGGCAGGGTAAGACCCACTGCGATCGCTTCCAGATCCCAAGCTATGATCCATCAGCATTTTGCCTTGACTTCGTGCAAGGGCAAAAGAGGAATGTGTTGCCAATAGTCGGAACGACTTCAATTTGTTGACGTGTGTATGTCAATGTTAATGACTCATTACATGTTAATTACGCCAGGGAGTTTATATATAGCTCAGAGCACTCCAACAGATAAAGAGGCCCACGCACACCACAATCATTGTTTGTTAAGCCCATTTAGGTCGATGAGCACGGAATTCCAGAGCTTGGAATTTGGATCCATGGATGGATAACCTTTGACCTTTCTTCCACTAAACAAGAAGCAGGCAGAAAAAGGCCAACCTTTTCTCCAGGGAAACTGAAGGAGTCGGAATTCAGGGAGCGGGAACTTGGAGCCTGCGGATGTTCGAAAACCAGCATGTTCCGCAACTCGCGGCCATGTCAGTTCCCCAACTCCTCGCTGGGATGTTTGTTGGTTCCCCATGCCAAAAAGGGCCAGGGGATCTACATCTGTCGACGCTCCTTTCCACGGTGCCTGCAGGGCGACCCACCTTCTGCAGCACTTCCTCCCACGCGCGCGGCGCTTGGCCGCCGCCGCGCACGCGGCGCGCGCTGCGTGTGACGGTGCCGAGCTTCTTGGAGTGTCCGAAGGCCATGGAGAGTCTTGGCAGCTGCAGGTTAGATGCTAAGACTCATGAATATGTAGACTCTTGATTAATTCACCCCCGATAGGAAGAGGCTTCAAAATCCGTAGACATTTTGGCTCAAGCTACCTTTGGCTCAACGATCTAGAAGTAAGTCATCAGGGTAGGGTTCTCCATGGCTCGCAAAGGGAAGAAGAGGCCGGCAAGATCAAAGGATCCCAAGGACAACTCCCAGAAGAAGGCGAAGAAAAGCAACTCGCATACCGCTGACTCGACGTCGGAGTTCCACAACATTCCAGACGTGGGGGTGTTTTCCAACGAAATTTCTGGGAAGAGCTCTCAGACCTACCGCTCCTTGATCTCGAACTACCTTGCCAACAGTGATAATGCCCCTAACCAGGTGGGCTTGTTGTTCATGGCAGCCGCCACGGCGAAGTGAAAAGGTCCTTTGCCTAATTGCTCTTCCAGGGCCCTGAAAAAGATCTTTGAGAAAGTGAAAGGTCATTTGCAAAGTTTTTTCCAGGGCTCTGAAAAAGCAATTTGAGGAAGTGAAAAGGTCCTTTGCCTAATTGCTCTTCCAGGGCACTGAAAAAGATTTTTGAGAACATGAAAGGTCAATTGCAAAATTGTCTCTTTTCCAGGGCCCTGTAAAAGATCTTTGAGAACGTGAAAGGTCATTTGCAACGTGTTTTGTGCTTCTATTTCTTCCAGGGCTCTGAAAAAAGAGTGGCAACACGTCAGAATGCTGGTGGCAATATGTCCAATATGCATATATATATATATTACACATCTATATGGTAGATTCCCAGGACCAAGAGTCAGCGACTAAACCACGGTGAATCTTCCTCATTAAAGTTACTGTTTAGCTCATCGCCCGCTGAACGTCTCTATGTCCGGTTGCTTGAGTTAAGCAGGTGACACACTTTCTTTCCGCATGCGTCCGAGGTTTCTAACCTCGATCCTGATTCGATAGAGGATGGCTTCTGCTGTGTGGAAACTCAGCACGTACGGACGATGTCAGCGCATGTGAACGAGGGAATCTTTACGTGGATCCAACCGGCCGCCGGCCGCGTTTGCTTTTTGGATGGCTGGTCGTTCACTTCATTTTCTTCCACAGCTTTGGATCGCACGCAAGAATTTTACAAGGATATTCTTGAGGAACCTGGCTGTGTAGGCAGTGTGGTTTGCACGTATCGTTGTATTGCAACAACAATCCTGGATATGATTTCGGCACCCCATGCATCCCACACTTTGAATCTGCAGCTGAACACACCGTAACTCACCTGCAAACGGACATGTGAAAGAAACAGCAAGGGACTTGGGCATGTGAGTGTGCTCAGCTGATTTTGCCACTTGCAGCACAAATCAGCCTGTGCTGAGGCTTCAGCCCACATTGAGGCTTCAGCGTGTCATGAGTGCAAAGAATTTCACCAACAAGGCGATGGTTCTTGAAATTGAGAATGCCATCCAATGCTGATTCAAATGGGCTCCAAAAAAGTAACGCAATGAGCAAGGGTGATGCCATCAGATTGATTGACACCACTAGAGTCCTTAGCCTTCAAAATCTGACGCTTTGTATTTCTAATCCTCGATGGCTAGCACCGTTGCAACTGGAACTGTGCAAGCGGCTTGTGCCCCTTTTTCTACACGCGTAAACCAACCAAGTCTCCCGCAGCCACTTTTGCACCAATGCTCGCTGTGGCTTCTCTCGCGGGGCGCCTTTGCGGTGGTGGGGCGCTGGCAGAGCTTTCTTGTGTGCGCATGTAGGGAAAAACGGCACATGCAGGTTTTTGCTTTCTGTTTTTGCTAGCTGTCAGGTGAGGGCTGTTAGATTTGATGTCAGCCGCATTGCTCCTCCGCCTCCTCCTCCTCGTCCTCCTCCTCTGCCTCTGGCTGGCAGGCAGTGTTCCGTAATCGCAAGTCAGAAGATATGCATTCAACTTGCCAGATAGAATGTCAGAAGATACGCCAGATAGAATCTCAGACGGGATGCCAGAAAGAATATCAGAAATATCAGAAATAACGTCAAGTGTCAGAAGATATGCCGGATAGTATGCCAGCATGAATGCCGGAAGAGATGCCAGAGAGAATGTCAGATATTATGTCAAAAGATATGCAGCAAAAAATGTCGGAAGATATGCCAGAGAAAATGTCAGAAGTTGGGCCAGGAAGAATGTCAGAAGATATGCCAGAAACAATGTCAGAAGATACGGCAGAAAGAATGTCAGAAAGAGTGTCACAAGATATGCCAGACAGAATGCCAGAATCCATGTCCTGCAGAACAGATGCCAGAAAGAATGTCAGAAGATATGCCAGAACGAATGTCAGAAGATATGCCAGAAAGAATGGAGTGTCAGAAGATATGCCAGAAAGAATGTCAGCAGATATGCCAACTAGAATGCCAGAATGAATGCCAAAAGAGATGCCAGAATGAATGAATGAATGGCAGAAGATTTGCCGGCAGAAAGAATGCCAGAATGAATGTCAGAAGAGATGCCAGAAAGAATGTCGGAAGAGATGCCAGACAGAATGTCAGAAGATATGCCAGATCAGAAGAAATGCCAGAAAGAATGTCAGAAGATGTGCCGGAAATAGTGGCATAGTGTCAGATGAATGCATGTCAGAAGATGCGCAAGAAAGAATGTCAGAAGACATGCTAGAAAGAATGCCGAAATAATGTTTCAATACGTGCCAGAAAACTTGCCAGATTGAACTGTCATGGTGGGATCACTCGAAGTAACTTGCTTGTGTCTTGCGCATGCACTGGACCACGCTTGGCCGTTCAGCGTAAGATTGATCAGGCGATGCCAGGCGGGACGCGCAGGCGAGAGGGGATTCTCTCGAGAAAGGCAAAGTGTTTGGTCAGCATTCACATTTCCTCAATGGAAAGAAGAAAGAGCAACGCAGGAATTGAAAAGAGCGTTGGCATTGAAGTGGAATGATTGAGAACATTCAAAGGAATCACACAATGTACGATACATTGTACATGTTATGCTTTTTTACACCAGATAGCTGCAGGCTGTAGGGGCTCTAACTTCGCAATGGTGTGGCTCTGGATCGGCGTTTTGGTTTTGCGGGCGCTGCTGCCGTGCTGGTGCAGGTGCAGGGGCTGGCTCTGGATCGGCGTTTTGGTTTTGCAGGTGCTGCTGGTGGTGCCGTGCGGATGCTGGCGCTGGATCGTTGTTTTGTTTTCTGGTGCAGGCGCTGGCTCTGCATCGGCATTTCGTTTTGCGTCATGCCCAGAATGACATCGCGCCATGCCTAGCTTGACATCATGTCATGCCAGGGATGTCATGCCCAGAATGACGCCATGTCACGCCACGGATGACGTCATGTCACGCCACAGGTGACATCATGCATGTCATGCCAGGTCATGTCAGGCAGGGCATCATGTCACACCAGGGGTGACACGCTGTCATATTGTGCATGGCACCGTGTTGCGCAGCAATGATCATCTTGTCGTCTGGGCAGCTGTGGCTGGCCCTTGCCGATCTTGCAGTTTTACATCTGTGTTGGGCAAAGTGGGCGCATTGAGATGATAGATGTTGCGCGTATTGGTGGATTGGTCTGATGTTGCGTGCTGCGGCGACAGCCGTCCGCAGCGTGTCTCTAAAACCCATACACCCGCTATCTGGGGTCTATGCCGAATGTAACTCTATCAAGGCTCCTACAGTCTTAGTAACGACAAACTTGGAAGTTTTAGCAAATCTATGAACCAGTTATTGTCCGACTCAATTCACGCTGGTGTTTGGTTCTTCCCAGGTCCGACCGGGTCTTGCCGACCGGCTGAAGGCGCTTGAGGCGGCTCTTCTCTTGTTGGCCCCAGAGCGTTGGCGCGTCGGACTTGGCCTGCCGATCCGATAGCTTTGACATATGCAGGAGCGCGTGGAGGAACTTGAAAGGCTCATTCGTCCGCTGGCCTTGGCCCTAGGTGGCGGTGGTCTTGTGGTGGATAGCCAGGAGTTCAGCGTCTATTATACTATATAGATCTGACAAGACGGCACCTGGATTTGGGTCGAACAAGTCTCGCCGATGCATCGAGCACGCAAGTCGGTCGGGGCGTGGCAGCGGCAACAGACCACACTTGCGGTGTTTCGACGGCCGCTGGCCAGAAACTGGTGCTGAAGGAAGGAAAGCACGCGAAACGACGAGAATTTGATTTGCTCCGTCTTTCTTTAAAGGAAACACCAATTCCAAACTCGATCTCTTTCTGGTTCCGTTTCGAGAGGCCCGTTTCGACCAAACCAGGCCCGTGCAGTTGGAGCGGGAGGTGGGGCGGTGCTCCGAGGGCCTGAAGGGGGGCGAAGGGATTGAAGGGTGGAACACGGTACACGGTAATTGAACTTGAATCGAACATCTTTCTGTATATTTGCTGATTTGATTGTTAGTTTCTTAGAACATCCAAGTATTCTAACCATTGGATAGACAGAACGGTTCTGACATTGGTTATGGTGGAGTAGTAGATTTGGTTAGATTGGATTTTGCTAGTGAGGCTTGGGGATCTCGAAAGTCAGGGTCATGGAGGCTCTGAGCACCCTCTTGGCGGATGATGGAGATTAGGATGATTTTGAGCAGTTGAAGGCATTCATCGAAGAGATCTCTACGGATGACTGGGGGGCTGCCAATGATGTTGGGGTTTACTGTCAACCAAAGAGTTGCAATGCTTGACAGACACGATGCTTCAGGACTTCACCACCTTACTAACGCGGGTATGGCGTATGGGCTTGAGTTCGCAGCAGGTGAGAGCGTGCACTTTGCTTTTCGCAAAAAAAGACACCCCCTCCTCCATTGGCCAGCTGTGTTCTACGGAGCCCTAGGGCTCACTATTGGCGACAAACACTTCACAGCGCTACGACGGTCTGCCACTAATGTTTTAGTGGGTGACCACAAACATGCCTCCAGTATGATAGCCCTACATTATCTTACGGATCGAGTCCAAGACCCACTATTGTATATAGTCACTGACATGCTTACCACACTCCGCCGCCTTTTCGTTTACTACCCTGAGATCGCCCATAAAATTCTCAACGCAATCCGAGCCTTCGAATCGAAGGCAAAGTCCGGGGTCCTGCAAGTACCCTAGCTTGTTATCTGCATAAGTTAGGCTGGGAAGTAACGGGCAACGCTACACTCCTTGGTCCGGGAGGCCTCAGAGTCAGTTTGTCAGGCTCCTCGTCTAAACAGATTAAGGCCCAAGTTCATATAGCGTAGGATTGGCACTGCCACAAACAAGTTTATCACCGAAAAGGAGTTCCGCACAATCCCTTTGACTCGCTTACCACAATTCGTCTTATGCGGGCCATGACTGATAGACAGAGAAGAATTTTGGCATTGAGCCTTACATCAGGGTGGCAGTCGTTAAGCGCAATAGCAAATTGGTCAGCTACGCAATATCCGCACTGCCCGTGGTGCAACCAGTATGATACGCATACACACCAATTGCTGGATTGTCCTGAGTTTGCAAACATACGAGCAGAGCATGTGGAAGCAGCATCATATATTTCAAGTAACCACTATGCATGCTGGTTCCCACTTCCGTGTCACCACTCACAAACAGAGCTTGTCCGACAAGCCATGCACCTTCGGGGCCAGACATGTACCATGCATGCAACAACCCGATGTAGTCCTAAATAATGCAGTGGTCTACACGGACGGCGCGTGTGATAATACACGTGACCCCTATGCTGCGCGAGCAGCGTGGGCTGCCATCTTACGTACACCAACAGACACACAGATCGAAACAGAAAATGCCATGTGGAAATTCAAAGTCCTTGCAGCCGGGCATTGCCCAGGTCACCAGACAATAAGTAGATCTGAACTCTACGCCATGGTCATTGCCGTAGAACTTATTGCCACTGAGCCCTCGGCAAGTCATGTCCGCTTTGTCACAGATTCCCAATATGTTGTCAACTGCATCCACCAGATTGAAGATGAGACAATTTTTGCGTGTCCTAATAAAAAAACGCATTGGGACTTAATTCAACTACTAGTCATTGCTTGGAACCCAGTAAATTTTACAGTACTGAAGATCAAGTCACATCAGGACATCACCCAGGCCAACAAACACAGAGGAGGCATGGCACATTCGTGGGAATGAATTCGCGGACCAGACAGCCATGAAGATTCGTAAGATCGATGACATTGATTTCGATCGACTTTGCACTGCTGTCCAAAAGCATTTACAGGGACAACAAAGCATTTTCCAAAAAATCTATATGTACTTAATTGATCTTGCACACGCACGGATGTCCAAAATGGACCAGACCAAACAAAAACGCGATCTACACGAAGCGCAGGGGCCCATGTCCAGGGAGGCTGTGGATGTATTCCAAAATCAAATCCACAAACTCCCACAATGGCAGGTGCAAGAGACTGCATTTCCCCTCCCGCCGGTCCCCCACAGAGTTGTTTTGGTGCAGTACATGGGGTACAAACCTGACATACTTGGTGTGGCAGTTCTGTACCCATTTGCGATGGCCAGACCCAGCCACTCCACGCCAACCAACAGACCCTGGCATTTCATGGATGGAATTGGCAATTTCATTTATGATTTGGTCCAACCAACATTTACCAATCCGTGTCAAAGAGGATAAGACATATAAGTATCTTGCTTATAATGACCCCCGGGTTCAATTGTTGCCAGTTAAATCCAGGTCCATCCGAGTCCTGGCAGAGAATTTCAGATGGGTCATCAAGCATATCCAGACGTTCTCACGGGGTCGTTGATCTCTCTCACCAACCGACACTACCACCGAAACCTGCCATACAACATGGCAAGGGTTCGTTTGTGGTTGCGACCTGTCCGCAAGTGAGTGCATCCAAATGGGGTGGGTTTATGAATCAAGAGTCTACATTAGAGTTGCTGGAGGGGGTGACAGATCAGTAGACGAGGTCTAGATCATTGGGGCCCATGGTTTGTGAGGCAGTTGGAGGAGCTTGATGTGGCGTCAAGCAGTCAGTATGACCACTGTTGTCATGATTGTATTTCCTTGGGGAAGGAGCCACGCATGGCATGAAGAAGAAATAGGTGGTTGCTGTGCATTTTCAGAAGCTGAGAATCAAATGCCCTCCAAAAGGGCGAAGGTCCCCGTGACTCCCGCGCGGGAAGCAAGCCACAGTCGGAGACTCCGTTTTAACCCTCATCACCCAAAAAAAAAGGTCAGAAGGCCCATAATTTGATATTCCGCATTTTTTTCGCCATAATCCATAGCATTGGAGTGTTTAGGTTACTTCGGTCTTTGTTTCCCCTTTGAGCCCCCCCACAATCCCAATCCTCTCACCTTGTGTGCTCTCAGGACCCTGGCGAAGCGCTGGTCCCTGCTGCGGCACGAGAAGCGGCTCCGACAGCTCAGCTGGGAGGTGCAGATGGTTTTGCAACGCCACCCGGCCCGGAAGGTCATGGGTGGGGGGATGGTGAGCCTTGCAGGGGTGAAGATCAATATCTCAATGTGTCGGTTCTTTAGTGAGGTTCTGACACTTTGGTTTTTTGATTCACCATGCCTGAATGCGGACTGATTGATATCGCATGATAAAGCCTCCATTTTTTCAAGATCTGGATGTTATTTGTTGGCAAGACCCCGCAATCATGGACGAGGTTGCTCAAGACGTGTCTCGTCCTTCTTGCACCTGGTGCGCAAGACGGGACCATAGGACCTGTCCTTCGAGGTGCTTTCCAACGAAGTGAAAAACATCCCTCACCTGGCCTTCGAGACTCAGAGAATCTTCGAGACTTTCAGTGAACAAAGCAGCTAAACCCGTTCGAAACCGAAACCCACATCCCAACACAAACCTGCATCATCCAACATAGTCCTTCAGCCAGGAGACCCGGATGATCGTGCTTTGCCAGGTATTTTCAGACAGATTCCATCAGATTCCTATCTGGGTTTGGGTTTAGATGCTTTCAGATACGGGGGGTGACACTGACCACTAGGTGGAACCACAGATTCCTAAGGTGGATTCTTTCAGATCTGTGTCACTCTAACTTCTACTTGAGATGAGCAATCCCACTGGTTGAAGCCATCACCCAGCTCTGAGTTGAGTCGCTCCCGCAAGGAGAGCAGGACCTGCCGCTCGCCTTGACGGTGATGCGCAGCATTGCAGCCAGCATCCCCGATCCGCCGATGCTCGGTGCGGTTGTTCAGTCTTTTCTTCCCCATGAGCACAGGAGTTTCCCAAGCAATGGCTAAAAGAGATCTAAAACATTCTAACACAGGAGCCTTCAACAGCCTGTTTGGGGTGTCAACTGAGTACCTGCTGGTGTGTGCCGTGGCATGTGCCGTGGCTTTACACACTCGGACTCAGAGCTTTCAGCTTGGGCTGTGCTGTCACCCAGTTATAATAGCAGTCTTTTTTGGATAACATGTAGCAAAACCTTTCAGCAGATCTTAAATTCAAAGGGTTTGAGCTTGGTTGCTTGGTTGGTATTCGATCGACTCCTTCGGGGTGCAGCAGCACCTGGCGCCTGCCTGCCGCGCGCGTTGTGTTGCGCCCAGGACTTCGCGCATCGTCGTGGCCTCATCCTTCATCGGCGAGGACTTTCAGCAACAGATGCGCCCAGCCCGGAATAACCACGAGCGCTGGTGCGCCCGGCATGGCTACACCTACGCGTGTTTGGATGCTTGGTGCTTGGCACGGAAGCGTTTTCGGTGAACAAACGAACCGTAGCGCTGGGTCTCTATGGGAACTGTCATGAGCTATAACTATCAACACATTGGGATGAAGGACCGCGCATAGGTATACGCAGGTGACGACAGTGGCAAACAGCTCACAGCTCTCACGGTCAGTGCATGTTGTGGTGTTGGGCCCTTCTCTCGTGCTGATTTTGTCTCACATTGAGCACTCAAGCTGTCAAGTATTCCCACAGTACTGCACAGTACTGCCAGGGAATCGCAAAGGAGAATAGAGATGCCACGGAGCTAGGTTGGTCAAGCACAAGCGGCCTGCATGCGGATGTTATTCCTGAAAAGCCGCGCAGCCAAGGAAGAGAACATTGCCAAGAGGAGTGATCCAACCTGGTCAAAGATACCTCATGTCCTGACACTTGTCGAGCCTTTGGAAGCCCTAGGGCTCCAACTACCTCCTTCTGAGGATGTGGTTGGAGCATGTTGGAGCCCTAGGGAAGGTTATTTATTTAATTGCGGTGAGAGCTGGAAGCCCTTTGATGGGGGACATAACAATTATATAATAATCCCAGGGCCCCGCAAGAGGTGTCCATTCATATCCCAAAAAAATCAGTGATCAGGGTCAGGGCGTGTCCATTTTTAACCCTAAGGGTCCAGGACCATCCTGAAAATGTCCTTTGACCCCCCCAAGACCATTGTTTGGAAGCAATTTCATCTCCAAGACCATCCTCACGAGGTACATACCTGGACCCTAGGTACTAGGGATTAACGGACACCCCAACCCATAATATATATATATATATAGGTTTTGTGATGTGCTCATTGGCCCTGCCGCAAAGGAACCTCTTACAAGGAGGGGCCGAGTGGGTCTTCTGGATGGACGCAGATTCACTGCGCCTTGGCTCGCACGCCGACATCATTTAAGTTTATTGGATACAAACCAGGCGGACACTCTATGCATGACATCTACCTCATTGACAGAGGTGTTTTGAGGGTCTGACATATACCCCATTCATGGGAGTGTTTGCGTAAAGCTTTGTTCACGTAGTTTCCACTTTCCATGCAAATTCCGTGTCCAATTCATTTCTCGTTGAGCCACACGAAAAGGACAAAGCGAGACCTTCCGTCCCATGCAGTCACCAGGTGGGCCATACAACTTTGGTCATCATGCCCAAGAAGTTTCATGTGCATCATGCCCAGGTTCATCTCTGATGGAGCTGACCTTCAATGGGCCTGCGATTTGCAGAAGGACTTTGTGTTTGCCGGAGATTTGCGCCTTGGGCTGGTGGAACTGGGGCCAACCAAAGTGGTCACATCCCCACTAAAGTCACCAGAACCATCTAGAACCCAAGCTTGGAATAATTACTAGCTGATGTTCTGGTGGACGACCTCGTAGACATTTCACCAAGTGATGTGAAGCATCAGCTGTGGGGAAAGCGGCCAGACAGAGGAGACTTTCCTTGCTCAGAACTGTTTTCAGACATAGAAAGATATCAACCTTTACGTCGGGATGACTGAACCTCCTGACTACTACCCCCCCCACAGACTAACATGGACCCTGAGAATGTACCCATGGTTTCAACCATGTTCTGAAGACCGACCCAGTGGTTTTGGAGTTCCATGTGGTCCCCGGCTAAAAAAGAGAGAGGGTACTTCAACAAAAACCACCCCGTTGCATCCCGCCATCAACCCACTGACTACCTTTATAGGGATGATTGAAACCCACTGACTATACCCTACAGATCCAAGTCTGGTGCTTGGGTTTAGGGTGCCAGAGGGATCCTAACCAACATCGAAGGATCTGGTTGGAGCCCTAAGAAATCCAAACTCAACCACCAAATACTTTGTTTCGGTGTAGCCCTAAGGATCATACGAGTTTTCAGTGTCTTTTTGTTGAAACCGTTGAACGCCGCTGCGGCAGCAAGGCTGCAAGGCTCAGACCGGGACTGACTGCTCGGACCTTCGACAGGTGCAGCATGCCTTTGCCTTTTTTCTGTTGGCCGTTTCATGGACAAAAATACACAAGAATTGGGGAGGACCCCTATCACAGAAGCTGTAATATGCCTGTATTACCTATACAGTATATGGTGGCATGTGCTAGCAGATTCTAGAATGTGATGGTAGCGCCTACCTTCAGAGACCCTCCAAGCTACAGCACTGCCGTCTTTCCCCCAGGAACGTGGTGTTCAATGCTGGCCACTTCTTAGCGAGTGGCTCGGCTGGGAGCGGATGGCGGATGGTGGAGAATACATGAGACGAGATTTGTAGGGTGTATTGGAGGGTGAAGGATGGTGAAGGTGGCGGATGGTAGTGAAGGTGTATTGGAGGGTGTAGATCAAGTTAGCAAGTGTTCGATGGAGAGCGTGCCGTATACAATTCGTACACAATTGTTTTTCTTCCAAGCCAACCAAAGTGCCAACCAACTACGGACGATGGACCACCAACATACCTGAAACTCCAATGATCCATCAAGCAAGACGGGGGGCTTAAAGAGACCTCGGTCACTTAGGTTTTGGGTGGTCGAAACGTTAGGTTCCCATGTCCCAGGGTTGAGGTCTTGGAGGGAGCGGCTGGAGCGACTTCGGTCTCAAAAGCCCTGGCGCACAGGGGGAGCGGCTGATGGAGCCAGTTCACCGCTGGCGAGTAGAGGAAGTCATTCTTCCAAGTCAATGGGGGGAAGGGTGAGAGTGAGTGTGAGTGAGAGTGAGAGTGAGTGTGGCCACGGCGTTTGGCTGTTTGGTTGAATTCCCTCACGAATTGGGTGGGCATCGCGGCCCTCCCCAGCTCACTAGGGTGGTGTAGTCTTTTATGTTGGCTGGAGGAACTCAAGATGACGGCGACTATATAACCCCAAAGCAGATGGCAACCCCCCACATGTCGAACCTCAGCAGTTGTCAAGGAGAACCAGAGGAAGCCACACATTCATGCATGCGGCCCCAACACGGCGTTCCCCCGCAAAGAATTTCTGTTTGTCCCAGACACTCTAGGCATTTGGATGAGACCCTTGAAATCAATGACCCCGCTGTAGGTAATTACTTGTCTTTTGTCATGGGTTTCCTTCAGAAGCCTCCAAGACGTGCACCACGGTTTGAGCTCCCAAGGGCGGGGTGCTTGGGCAGAAGCCTTTCTGAGTGATGCGTTCCAAATCCATCCTTGGCCGGACTGGGACACTTGGACTGCACTGTGCGGTATACATGAAGAGGTCCGGATGGTCAGGTCGTACAGTAACTATAGGCAGTTCCAGTCCGGAGTGTGAACGGGCATGTCTTGGTGGACCCCACGCGCACAAAGCGTTCGTGGCCCTCCTTCTGCGCTCGTCCCCAGCTGGACGGCTGGCCACCCGCGCAACCTCGATCCCCAAGGAAGACAATGGGGCGATGATGATCCTCCTGGGCGGTGGCGCCTCGTCTTCGCTCGGTCGATCCGCCCACGCCGCGGCCGACCCGTACCGACACCGACGCGCCCTTTTTGACGGCGCTGGCGGGACCAAACGAAGTGTTCGTGGATCAGCTACAGGTCACCAGGTCCAGGTCATCTGTTTTAGGTTTGGGCACAGCTCCAGATGCAGATGCCTGAGTCAGACACCGGGTGAACAGGTGAACCGGCGAAACGGCTTGGGCCAACGAAGCCTGCAGGTCGCTGAGTCAGTCGATCGGCACAGTCGGCCGGGATCAACGTCTCGACTCTCTAAGAGCTGATGAATCATCCCCAAAAAGGGGAGTCCATTGGAGTCCATTGATAGGACGCATTTATAGAATCTAAGATCAAAGTTGGGTAGGATCTTGGGTTCATAGGATTGCGGAAAAGAGTCCAAGTGTTGTTTGGTTCGTGGATTTGCGGTTGAACTATACCCAGACACTCCATGGGACTGCCATGCCTATATTGGGGTGGTTTGGGGGGTCAATGGGGCGGCATATATGGCAGTCCCATGGAGTGTTTGGGATATATTTATTCAATTTGTTGGTTGAGTTGACAAGTCGCAATCCCAGCAGTATTTGCTCCTAGAGCCACGGTGACTTGCTTGCAGTGCGTCTTGCTGTCTTCCAGGTGCTTCGCCTTCGGCTAAAGACTGTAATTAATTTGTAAACAACCAACAGAGGTTGAATGACCCGAACTAGACTAGCCCCAGTTGGGTACCCCATGGAAAACCGGTTCCTATGGTCCCGGTCACGTTCCACCGCTCTGGGAATGCTGGTGAATTCCAGGTGAGTAACCACCGCCCAAGGAAAGCCAACACCACTGCCAACACCGCGGAGAACCGAAGGGCGATCGTGGCACCGCGGGATCGAGGACGAAAACGAAGAACAAAAGAGACGAACAAAAGTGCCGGTCAACCTGCCAGGATGGGCTAGGTTTAGTTGCATTTATTTTTATTTTTATTTTTGGTTTGACTCGGTCAATATATAATAATATATATATATATACATGCATATACCTAGAACCTGATTCACCCCTGTTTTGGAGCCAAAACATGGTCTTTTCCTATCAAAACAGGGGTTCAAATGGGGTCTAGGTATGTATATGGTATATATATATATATACTGTGGACTAAAAGGCACCCCGCCTCAGTTTCCGAAGCTTGTCCTCGGAATCGGCTAAAACGGAACAAAAACACACGCACACACACACACACACACCGTTCGCGAGGCTCTGCATACGATCCCAGCACCTGGCGTGGCAGCTTTGAGCGGATGAAAGTGCCCACCCGAAGCTGGGAGGAATGCCAGGCCGCCATGCGTGGCCCAGCCAAATCGATCCGCTTGATTCCGCTTGATCAGCGGATGGATGTGGATGGGGGGTCTGAGCAGCTGCTTCACCAAAGGGGTGGGTGGTTTTGTTGAAGCACTTCTATCTTATTTTGGGCACAGGACCACTTGGAACCCCAAAACCACGAGGTTGGTATTCGGAACATGGCGAAACCATGTGCGGGGGGCTGGGGCCAAGAGCGGCTTGAGGCTTGAAAACATTGGAACACTTCGGAGTGTTTACCCTGGAGCTGGGGCGTCTGAGAATTAAGAGAACATGGTAAGACCTAACAGGAACGTCACCAGAGTGCTCACTTGTATATAGCAAAAATGGCTGGCTTTGGCGTTGAGGACATGTTCGGAAAGGATAAGGATGCAACTATTCGGGGGAGCTGGTCTGCCCAATGCCCCCTTAGTATGGAACACCGACCTCCAGACACTTGTATGAGAAAGGCCTAAGGCAGTATAGATACAAAAGCTAGAAAACATATTATATATGAGAGTAATATATTGAATATGTGAGTAATATATTGCTCTATTATGTTCTATTTATTTATTTATTTGTGCCGTTACATTGATTCAACAACTCCTCTAGGTAGTTAGGTAGTCAGTCGCCCATCCGGATGTGAGTCAATGTCAGTCCCAAATACGGCGCCGTGCAGATGGCCATTCCGTACGCTTTGGCCGCCCGCCCTCGTCCCCAGTGAGGCGATCTGCCGCCCGCGGTCGCGGAGCATGTGGCGGTGGTGCCGCAGCATTGGCTCAATGCCTACGAGTGGCCCAAAGGACCTGGAAGCCTAGGCTTCCCATCCCCACAAACACATAAGAACCCTCAAGACTGGAAATACCTGTCCTAGGTCCTAGGGATCCAAGTACCTCCTCAGTCCTCAGAAGGTATTTGAACCCTCCAAACCCAGCCCAGTCCCACCTTCTCAGAAGGTATAAATCCCTAGGTCTGGGTTATCCTGGGTTCCTGTAAGCCAAGGTGGCCCAAGTATTTGCACCACCGACGGTTCACCAGATCTGTTTACCCGGAGAGCTTGAAGCCAACTCCGCATGAACATGCCAACATGGAGGAAAAACTGGCCCTGATCAGATGTGAATCCCCATGTGACTGATCATAAACTTGTGTTTTTATGGATTCCACTCCTACACCCTGGAAAATTTACATGGAACCTAAAAACCACTGGGTTGAACTGGGTTGTGAAGGAAAATAGTCTTCTAGAGTTCCATTTTCAGGTTCCATGTTAATCTTCCCGGGTGTATCAGGGGTGATGTGTTGGACATGGTGATTGTCAGTGCCAGGGTCCCCTCGTACCGAATTGGCATCCCTATTGGCAGTCCCAAAAAGGGCTTCCTCAGTGGCTTTTTCGCTTTCATGTTCTGAAGTCCATCCACTGGTAGGTGGCCCCCACCAACTTCTCTTGCGCCTGAGGAGATTTGCCCTAAAGGGCTCCTGGCCTACCTCCGTTTCGGTTCGGTGTTTGGCGTGGGTGGCTTTGGGGGGTTGTGCCCACCTTCTGAGGATATGGGACAGGAGCCCGCCGGTTATATATCACCTGCTTCCCATATTGGATTCTTCAGGATGGATCGGGATTCGTCCTCTCATTTGTACCTACCCAGTCAGTGAATCGCCTCACCCTTTTGAAGAAAAACACATTCGGGGAAGGTTTTTTCCCACTCAAACCAGTTGCAGAGTTCGCTTCACCTCACTGGTGGGGATTCAAACAGTTCAGCCTCAAGAATCCTAAGAGAGGTAGCCAGTGACCGGGACCATAGGACCCGTCACCTGGGGTACCGAACTGGGTCCTTCAACCTCTGGATCGTCCAGAGTTCGTCCCCCCTGAACTGAAGAAGTCCCACGAAACCCACCAAATCCCGACCCGTTGAACCCACCAATCCCGTGCTCACCACTGCCAGGAGGAGGCAGTGCGGCACTGATCCGGGGCGATCCCATTCTGCACTTCGCGGGGTGCGCGGCAGACGCCTGGTGATGCACCGTCGGTTCGACCGGTTCGGTGGAGACCCATGGTTCGACCGGTTCGGTGGGTGTGGTGTGGGGAGCTCCAGCGGGACAGGAAGACGTAGGTAGTCTTAGGGTCGATTTAAAGAAGCCATGATGTCTTTTGCACTGGGAGATACTTGGGAACAACCAATTGAGTGTTGAAGTGATTTTCCACGACTTGCGATAATTGTTGGTTGATGAAGAGAGGGTTTCCAAATCAGCACTGGATGGATCAGCGAGACCTGTCCATGTTCACCATTGGGCCCTTCAAGGAGTCCTGTGATGAGCCGCGCAGCTTTAGGACTTACTGATAGGACACCCTTAGTTCCTCCATAACCGTTGGGAAGGCAAGGACATGTCAACAGCCCTGACATTGCCCTGAAGACATCATTAATCATATCCAGCACAAATGTGGGCAGTAAAGATTATCCTGCTCAAAGTGAGCAGACAGACTCACTCCATCTCGCTCCACAACATTCCACAACCTCCTTGCCGATTTCGGGAAAGTCCTGTTTCTGTAGACCTCGCTCTTGCATCCTGCCAGAAAGTTGTGCCAAATGGACCGAGATTTGTGTTCATGTTGGGAACTCTTGAAGGAATTCACCATTTGATTTCATTGCTTACCATCATGTTATGTAATCAACATCAGTTTTAACTTTGTCATTTAACATTGTTTAACCGTTTACAAGATGTTTGCCCTTCTACTTTTTGGAAGATTTGTTTGTCGCAACATCTCCAGTCGCCCTTCAGGATGCAAAACCAGAGACTTGGACGGCAGTGGTCGCCAGAGTTTGCTTGTCGTTCAGTGGCTTCTCCTGGGCCTTTATGGTGGGTAAAAGGAGTGGCTATTACTACTTTGGTGATATGTTGGATGAAGAGGCCTGTACTAACCATCACATCATAATAATAATCATCATCATTCCACTGTTACTCTTACTGGAATGAGATATGATATACCAAAGCCTAAAACACCGATGCTGTGAGGGTCGTTCTCGTTTGACCATGACCCGACTGCTTAAGCCAGTGACAGATCATTCGTGGAATGCTGGTGCAATCTATGCTGGTACCCTTCTGAGTCCACTCATGCTGAGGAATCTGCAGTGCTTCAGTCTCCAAAGCCCAATGGTCGATCTGGAGTGGCGTTTTTGGTCTAACTCCAGACCATCCATGGGACTGCGTTGTATACATTTTACCCCATGAAACTTCATATTTCTGGCCCGGATGATGCCACTTGTAGGCAACCAGTCCAGTCACAGATGGTTTGGGAACGACCTTTACGAGAACAGGCCCTCACGCCTCCCCCCCGACCACAACGTGCCGGAAGTAGCTCCCGTAGCGCCGGAGGTCTCCCAGCGCCCCCATCCACAGGTGCCCCATCCGGATGCCCGAGATGGGTGGAATCAAAGCAAATCTGGATCTTTAGAGGGGTGCTTGAAGTTCCCAGTGCATCCCAGTTACCACTGACTATACTGTATATATATATATAAGGAACCAGGGGCTTTTCGTTCGGTCGAACTGGTTCGTTCGTCGAACCACTGGGACTCCCAGCGACATCGTGGGAACTGCCTGGATGCACTGGGGTTGATATTTACTTGATACCTGTAAGCATCGCTTGGAAGCTGGGGTGAATGACAACTTCCAGTTCCTCCCTTCTGAAGAGCTCTTTTGTGCCTGCTTGGGAGTGCTTTCCAAGCAGCTTGCTTTTTCATATGGTTTGTTCTTATTCTTCATCATGATTAAGTTTCCCTGCTACCGGAATGATTTGATTTGGACGTCGCTCTTTAGCCGCTTCAATGGGTTTGGGCCCAACAAAACATCATCAACGCTGCAAAATACGCCGCTCCTTTCAGCACCGGAGAATCCCAGGACCTGGTGGCCCACTTTGCCGAACGCTTTGGAGATCCCTTTGACCTTTTGGACCTCCTTTCGCCCGCCACCTGCGCGACGTCCAACCAAAAAGGATGCGACCGCAACGACCCGCGAACGACGAACGCGCGCGAAACGACCGACCCGCGGAGTGGTTCGGCACTTCGTTTGAGACATGTCGCAGGGATAGGCCGGAGAGGCAATAGGTCTGGTTCCGTTTGGAACGAGCGCCGGGGGTGGTGGAATGGTCCCAGAACTAGACCCAGACACTTCGGGCCGACATTAAGGTGGTGTTGTGCGTCAAGTCTAACGATACACGGAGTGTGTTGGGATGCAATCTCCTCGTGGCATGTCTTGACTGAGATTGTGCAGCAGTGGAGGAAGGTGGCCCAGGTGCATCCTTGGCTTTGGGGGGGCCCACATGCATCCTTCTTGGGGCCCAGGGGCATAGGCTTCCCGCTTCCACAAACTTAAGAAAGCACAGGCCTCATCACCATTCCCTGATCGTGTGACTCCCTAGCATCTCCAGTTTGACTTGACATTGCCAGCTGATGCACATGGACGCCTCAATCAACCAAAACCTTTGAGTGCTTGGATTTTGATGCAGATCGGCTGATAATGTTGGAGATGGTGGGATTTATATGGATGTATATGGTGTTCCATGTTTTATTGATAAATCATGATAAACCTTTGAATCCCGGTCCTTGGCCTGGCAAAACGCGATCTCGGTTGAATTTGGGTCGAAGAACCCTATTTCTCTCCAAAAACTACCGTTGGTTGACAACAGAAAAGCTCAGAAGCCTGCCTGGAAGCTCAAGCAATCAGAAACAAATCCTTGGAGTGAGCTTTCGTGTTCTTTCTTCACTTGTTCATCCACAAGAAGAAACAGAATCACTGGCACCACCCAGTTCACCACCAGGCTCACTACAACGGCTTGGCCTTCTTAGCTTGCCAAGGTGGACGTCCTTGGACGCTTCCACACCAACCTGAGTCGCGTGACTCTCCGCGGGGACGGCGCGCAGGCGCGCATGGAGCATGCGCCCCGGAGACGAGGAGACGAGAGACGGCCAATGAACAAATACAAACACCAAAATAGTCACAGTACGGTGAAGACCTAGCCGACCTAGCTTCGCTGAACTCGCCGATGGAGAGAGAGGTGAAGACCTATTGCCCCCATGAAAGTAAAAGAGGAAGTTCCTTTTAGATCACCTAAAGGCCATTGGTGACGTGGTCTTGGTCACCAAAAGGCCGCAAGGTTCTTAGATAGTCTTGGGACCCCAGGTTTTACAGAGAAAAAGAGGGAGAGAGAATGCTTGAGTAGAGTGTTCTGTTCTCATTGAGCACCGACAAAACGCTCGCAACGGGCGCGAGGTCCGGTGGGATTCAGCTGATTCAGGTCCCGGTGAAGACGGAGGGGACACACTTCATAGATCCAATGACCTACACGCGTTCGTAGGCAAATCACTGCAAACATGTTGATCAAATTTCATGTTGGCCCACAATCAGTTGCTTGTACCCAAACTTTTTCCATCACAATCCATCACATGTGGGGATCCTTCACTATACTAGCACGTCCAAACACATGCCGGTGAACAACCACTATATAATAAACAGTGGTCTATGGCTCCAGTCGTACCTCCTCAGGTTCGGTCTGTGCACCCGCTCCGCGGGCACCCACCCCCTGTCGAACCCACCGACGACCTGAGCTCCGTCCACCGCACCGCACACGTTTCGCACCGCACACCGTTGGGGGCTCGAAGTGGATTGCAGAGTTCTGCGGAGAAGTTCTGCCGCCAGTGTTTCGCATGAACTGCCACGGAATGGTGTATCAGGCCTGGCTGGGGCGGAGTTGGGTTGGAGGTTTCACTAAAGGCTCACGTCCGAGATCCTGATGAAGAGAGAGAGAGAGAGGAGTTTTGTATAGTTTTGTTAGGAAGCTGCTGAGTCTATGGTTCTCCAGTGAGAAACATGAATTTCCTCCATGTCCTCCTTGCAGTTTGCGGAGTCGATCGACATGCCATTGACCTCCTGGTGTCTACCTGATACTGCGGAGTGATATGTCCAGATCCGACCAAGGAAACGTAGATAAAACTGCAACGCCTTCTTGGGGGGATTGCTTTCCAGCTTCAAAACGATTTGCGGTCGCTTAGTGGTGCGCTTTCTCTTTCGTTTCTCTTGTTCTCCTTTTTCACTACCAGAGGGTTGATGGACAGAGGAGAGAAGATCCCAACGTGTCACAAATACCTGGTTTTGCGGATCAGGTGATGCCTTTTTTCTAGGTACATCAGATCATCATCCCCTTCTAGAAAACATGTTTTCCGGTGCCTTAAGCAAATCCAAGAGGAACAGCCCCCTGGCTTGGTCCCGGTTGCCAGACTTGACTCACGTCCTGAAGCGTGCCATTTATGAGCGCTGGTGTTTGGAGTGGCTACAGTGGTGTTCTCCAACAGAGGTTAAGTGACCTTATAGGACCTGGTCACCAGGGGTACCTATATAGGATAGTCTAAGTCTAGTTCGGGTTCTTCAACCTTTGCTGGTTGACCCAAACATCATTTCTTCGAGCAGCTTCTCATTGCCCTTCATCTAGTAGAGTGCCTATATACCAAGACATGGGTGTATCAAAGACTCCTGGAAGAAGGAAAATAGACCCAGACCCATTGGGCCAGAGGGTCTCCCTCTTCAAATGCACCAGTCGCTGGGTCATGTTCCGCTGGCGAGCGCTCGCCCCGTCCACCCTGCTTTCTTTAGAGGTGCCCGTGCTGGTGCCATGGATGCCAATGGAAGCTACCGAGTCCAGCAGTCAAAGCCCCAGCCTTGAAGAGGAGGCCGTCTGACCTGCCGGGGAGATTCCGGGCCCTCTCCGGCCGACCAAGGGCCGTTCAGCGGCCATTAGGGCTGGCATGGGCCTCCAAAGGAATCGGCACCACCAGGACCTCCATGCCGCTG